TCCTATATTGTATGGTTGTGTGCAAGTGCATGTAGTGCTATAGTGGAGGTATTTTATAGATTTTTGGATTCAACTAATTTGACTGACCTCATCCTACTACTTTGACCTATGTATCTGTTTTTTTGGAAGTGATGCTCAGGAGGCTTGGTGTGCTTTTGGAAGTGTGTGGGTGGTTGTTACTTCCCGGCTGCCCACACCGTGGAAGTTGATTGATTCTTCGGGTACCTGAAACAGAAAGTGTTGCGTGACCGCAGAGCCCAGAGGACAACTGCTTGAGGCCGGTCACACACGGCCTGTATGAACTGGTTTCTGGGATTGGTTCCGTATTACTAAACTCACCACCAGTTACGGACCACCGTAGGGTAAGTCGCGATGTACAATTTTGGGGTCGACCTTTTCTAACCCCCTCCCTCCGGAGTGGAGACAGCAAAGCTGATCACCTGAGGGAAACACCTCAATGCTGTTACATACCTGTTCCTCAGCAGTACGACTTCGACCTCAGTCCCCTAGCATAGTGCAAACAAGAAGAATTCTTACACTATGTCGGTAAGTGCTTTTAGTCTAATCGCTATCCTAACATCCTTACTGGTATGGGAGGACCTGCAGGAAGATTGGTTCCAGCCAGTGCAGCTTGTTGGGTCATCGCGATGTGCAAGCCCGACCACCACGTCAAGGTAGCCGCTATCGGTCAGGACTATGTATCTGGCCTGCTAATCATCACAGTGTATTAGATAAACCAAATTATTTCGTTTAATGGGCTCCACAGGATGCTGTAACCAAAATTTGCTTCTAAATGAGTTTGAATGCCTTCTATTCCTCGAAATCTTGTGTAGAACTCTTAGAAATACGAAATGGCTAGCAAAAGGTACATTTTAATTCGTCGACTGTATGAAAGTACTAAAAGCAGATGAAGAATGCATGATTCCACTAGATGTAGTCAGGTAACTCGTTACACATGTGTCCCGATTACGGAGACCATTTGCCTTCTATGCAAGTACTTGGAGAAAAACGACTTGAATATCGGAACACCGACTTTCAGTTCGAAATAACCTTTGCTTGGAGATGCACTCGGAAGATCCAATTCATGTTCAGTTGTTTTATCTATCGACAGAAAGATGGTGTAGTTGTGGGATCACCATTAGTTCTGGTACTTACAGATATTTTCATGGAAAGTTTGGAAAATTATCCGTGTCCTTCTTCTGTACAAAAGGTATGTTGATGACACTTTTATCATTTTTGATAACAAATATGACTTAAATAATGTCCTTCAAATTTTTAATGGCTGCCATCCAGCTATCGAATTTGCAATTGAAGCATAAACTAAATAAACGACATCCTTTAAGGATGTTCGACTAACAAATAAGACTGATGGGACTTTGAGTAGATCTCTTTATAAAAAACCGATAATTGAAATGACTAGCTGACAAACTTTTACTATGGGGTACCCATAAATCGCATGCGAAACAGGTTACTATCTCCTCTGATAAGGATCCAAAAGATTTGCAGCTCTCAGTCGGCAAATGAAGAGGTCGCAGTCTTAAGGAAAACATTAACTGAAAATAGTTACTCGCATGCTTTATAGATAAGCATATAAAACCTAAAACCAACAAGAAACACCCTATATCTGTGCCAAAAAACATACACCTACGTGAACGTGGTGTTGAAAGCCAACCTTCTGACCGAAGCACATACCTAAAAAGAACATTTTTCGCTCCTACATTAAGACTGACATTCTCAAACTGCCAAATTTCCTTCCCTCAAGCATAACTTCAAAGATAAACTATCGTATTACACCACTTTTCTATGTGTGTTTACCAATTTAATTGCTTATGTGAAGCGGGATATACTGATCGTTCCATGCGTGTTTCACTTAAAACGTGATACCGTTTGACTACAGAAAAATAGTAAATGGATCAATAAGAAGTGCCATAATTGGACATAGAATTCTACACTGGCTGCTCACTATGCCAGAAGAATTCATCCAAAGTTATCTACGAAGGTGAAATGTTGATATATATACATATAATATAGATTAAGCAGAAGTATTTTCTTTGGAACGGATTCAAAGGTGTTATTAAAGCAGAAATCCTTCGTAAACGCCTCTCCAAATCTCTGAGAAAAACACACCTCGCCGCGAGCCTACGACTGACTTTTTCCTGCAAGAAACTGTTCAGCCAGAACGCGGAAGACAAGCTGTCGTATAGGGCCACTTCAATGTGCATATACGAGTTTACATGCTCTTGCGGAGCTGAGTACATCGGCCGTACCATGCGCCGACTCGTGAACACTATCCCGTGTGGCTAGTAAAAGGAGAACGAGAACGTGAATATAGTTCAGTGACAGAACACCTGGTCAACTCAGGACATTCAGCGCCATTCGAAAAAGTCTTCAAAATAACATACAAGATTCGATCAAACCTATCAGAGAGTAAAATTAAGACATTTAGGCATAGCCGAGGTACTAGCTACTCAAAAGCGCAAACACACGCTTTGTATCCAAAAGAAATACGTCAAACTCCTGTCCCTGCCATGGTCATCATTAACACGTATTTCTTTTAGTAATGATTATCCCATTGCCTTTCTTATCCAAACTTCTTGTTTATTCATGTTATTTTTAAGTTCATCTTAATCCCTGTTTACACTACCATATCCGAACTTCCTGCCTATTTTGTCATTTTATTATTTCTACATGTTTAATCCCTAACCGCATAAACAATCATTTGTCACAGTAGTTATGATCCCACTAGATTTTTTATCCGACCATCCTGTATATTTTGTTGTTTCTACATTTCTAACCCCTAATTGCATATTACGGTAGTAGTTATGATGCTACTTTGTTTGAGTTTTATTTGTCCCCCTGTTTATTCTGGCATTTTAATTCCTAATTGCATAAATCTGACTCTTGACCAGAAATTATTCCGGAACTTCCCCATTCATTTGTTATAAATACGCGAATGTACAGCCTAGTTGATGATTTCGTGGAAAAAATTTTCTTCGCTGCAACTGTCTTTTTAATAATTCCTATGATCCAAGGTGTATATTCCGTGATATATATATATATATGCGATTGTACAGTTACGTAAATAAATTCGCAGTCCTCTTCAGTTGGCCCCATAAGTTCTCATTTCCCCCTCAGACAAGCTACTCTATGTAACCCTCTGAGTTACTTACGCATAACTCGTCGCTCATCATTCAGGTTCCATTCGACCGATCGCCTGGAGTGTTATGTCAACCAACAATCTCCTCAAAGTGTTTCCAAACCACCTCCAGTATATTTATTGACCAGTTCGTCCCAAGAGTTCTTTTATGATTATTCTTTCTTACTATCTTATCGCAGTATTAAACCAGTAAAGATAGCCTTTGATAAAAGTTTGAAGTAGCCTGTTGGAAATATTTTTCGTGACGCATTCTCCAAGTTTCCGACCCATGTAGAAGAACTGACTGATTGACTTAACATCGCTGTAGAAAATTAGATTCTTGTTAGTCATGCAGAGTAAGTGTTGATTTTCAAACTTATTTCAAATCGGTGAAGGTGTATCTTACCTTTCCGATCCTGGCTGAATTCGACATCCCCATCCGTGTTGTCACCTGTCGTTGAAACAATGCTCCCACTGATGGTGACTAATGCTGTTTGTTGATTGTCTTCATCACTTCCGTCTTCTCTATGTTCACCTAAAGTCCTGTCTTCGCTGCTTATTGAGCCGGTTTGTTTTCGCCAGTCCGTCTTTGAGTCTGTGTGTCGTTGAACATAAATCATCCAGGAATCTTCACCACCTCTGTTTTCTCTATGTTCACGTGAAGCGAAGACTTGTGTTTGATGCTTCTTCTGCCAGCTTGTTGCTTTTCACTTGCATATCTTCCAATTTATGGGAAATCAGACATATATGTGTTATCGCCGAAGTCCAGATCCTCCAGGTTTTTTGTGTGAGTCCATTTTATGCCTGTTTCCTCATTGCCCGTTCTCCATCGCATTATCCAATCTACTGCAATCAGGAAAATCATTGGAGAAAGTAAGCAGCCAGCCTTGTCTTACTTCCGTCTTCACTTCGAAGGATTCCGTAAGTTTCCCGTTGTAGATTACTTGGCATACAGCATTCTCGTACAACTGTTGGACGAGATGTATAATTGTCGGCCGCACCCTGTAGTAGCAGAGTAGTTGCCGAATCACCTTTCAATCGACACTGAGCTGTCGAAAGGCCTTTTCAAAGTCGATGAGGTTGAGATAGAGAGCTGACTGTCATTCCCAGCCTTGTTCAATGACGACCCGTAGTGTTGCAATTTGACCAATACATGACTTGTTTCTCCTGAATCCAGCTTGTTCTGGTCGAAGTTTTTCATCCAGGGTGGCGTGCTTGATTCTCTCCAGGATGATGCGGCTTAGCATTTTGCTTGCGATGGCACAGGACAGGAGCATAATTCCGCGCTAGTTTTTGCATTGACTTAAGTCTTCTTTCTTTGATGTTGAAGTATTTTGTTTTCAAATTACTTCTAGGTCAACGTTGTATATCGAAGCCCTTTTCAAAGCCAATGAATTCATTGAGGCATAGGTTTGGCTATCAACTGTTTGCATTACACACTCTCAATCTATGATACTTCACATCATTCCTCTCTACATGTTATTTTATTAATATTTGCGGCAGAAGGTTAAAAAGTTTGTTAAACAATAAATTTGATATGTATATATATATATTCATTAATTTACAAGAACTGTATATTATATAATGAATATTGATATATATAATTTTAAAAAGAACGCGTTTTACTTTCTTAATGTTTTCGCTGTTACATTTGATTATTTTTATTATTGTTATAAATACAAAGAGTAAATGCACAAATGAAAGAAACAAAATTTCGGATAAAGTATACACATAACAAAACGAATGAGAAAACAAAACGCAGAAAAAGAAACGCTGATAATAATAATAATAATTATTATTATTATATGAAAGCATAGAGAATATATTGCCACATGCACGCACACACATGCATGACTGTATTTACTTATGATGAATAAGCAAAATTTGTACATCCAACACTACTTAATACCAGTTCGATCTGTTGCTTGACACAACTTTCCAGGCATCTATAACAATAAAGCGATAATAATAATAATAATAATAGTACAACTCTAAGGAAGCAGTTATATACAATGAAACTAACAAAATATTTGTTAGCTACTATACCAAAACGTGCGTCGCTGGCACAGCGGTTAGGACACTCATCGACCATGCGCATGACCCGAGGTTCGATCCCCGATCACCAACACACTCCCTTACCTCCGTAAGCCAGAAAAAATGCTAGTAAAGAGGGAAGGTTGAGCATGAGGCTAGCAACATCATCCTGTAAAAATAATCACCACTGCTACAGAAATTTCAAGCCACTAGCTTGAGGCCCTATGTCCCACTGGAAACGTGAAGGAAAAATTATTATTAATTATTATACCAAAAGTTCTTGCGTTCTCTGGCTCCCATACTGAAGATCAGATTAGAAACAAACAACTATGGGAAGGAAATAATCTGTCTGTTTTTTGACATAGAACTTTGCACATGTGTGCGGCAGCTCAAGTCGCCACACTCCATGTACCACACAAAGCAAGAGAAAAAAGTGGAAAAAATGCATAATAGAGACAGTAAACAGAGGTGTTAGACAAAGGAATAGTAGTAACGAAGAACGAAACAGTTTCATTGGAAATGATAAGTCACAAGGAGTGGATGCGTCTGCACCAGACACTGAGAACGATTTTGAGCCATGTCACCAATTGTTTCCAACCATTGGTTTTTACCGTCTCGAGTACCCCAACCAGTCAAGAAGTCTACACCTTCCTACAGGGCTGGCTGAAACTAACTGTTGTGGATCTCATTGATTGGTTCCATGTTTTGGTTTGACCGCTAGCTCTTTCCCAGCCTGACAATATAACATCGTCCATTGACTAGGAAGGCGATGACTAAGCATGCATGCGTAACACATGTCTGTCTGTCTGGATTCAACATAGAACTTGGCACCAAAGTGCAGCAGTTCGAGTTACCACGTTTCGAATAGATAACACATGTCCTAACCATCTCGGTCGATGTAACTTCACAACTTCGTCGATTGATTTCCCCTCTTTACCCAGTAGCACTCGACACCTAACCTCAATATTGCTCACCTTATTATACCACTTCACACGGGAGATAGAATGCAGGCACCTATGATCAAAGGGAGCCAGCTGGTCTTTTCATGTCTTCTACTCTCAATGACCAGGTCTCGCTCACAGCCATAAAGGAGGACGGAGCGGACTGATGAGCAGTACACCCGCCCTTTGGTCGATAGCCAGTAGGATATCACGTCTCCGCCAGAGACGGTGTAAGCTGGCATATGCGAAACGAGCGCCTGTATTCATGCCTAGATTTCGTCAGAGATCAACCTGTTGGCACTGGCTGATGGTACTTCCCAAATAAGTGGAGCGGTCAACGTGCTCTACCAATTCACTTCCTATTTCTAAACTAGGAGTCGGTGTAGTTCAGTCCTGTAACATCATCTTGCATTTGGCGGGAGCTAATCGCATGCCAAACATTCGTAGATTACAGCTCAAGGTGTTTAGAAGACTCTGCTATTTTGTCAGAGTCGTCGCCTAGAAGGACTATATTGTCTGCATATTCCAAGTCAACGAGACTATTATTCCCTGGTAGCAAGTCAATCCCTGTGTGCCTGAAGTGAGTTAGAGTTAAATCCATTAGTACATCTATGATGAAGTTGAATAAAAATGAGGATAGTAGGGTTCCTTGACGGACATCACTCGCCGTAAGCCCTTACCTGGCTGTATGAGTACGAATAGAGTGCTTTAATCAGTGCAATATATTTTCTCGGAATTCCCTTTACAGCCAAGCATCTCCAGAGTACCTCTCGGTCGACAGAATCGAGGAATGATTGCTGGGCGCCGATAGGAATGCCTATGTTCTAGAATCTGTCGGAGGGTGAAGATATGATCAATACACCCTCTTCCTGGTCTAAAGCCTGCCTGGCTCTCCCGTGTTTGTGCCTCCCAAGCACCACTCAGTCTACGCATGATTATTGAGCCTAGGACTTTAGATACGATATTAGTCAAGCTAATCCCTCTGTGATTATCACAGGAAGACTTGTCTCCCTTCTTGTATATGGGGATAATCAGTGACTTACACCAACCCGATGGGACTTCCTCGGATTCCCAGATGCTGCCTAGTACCTCAGTTAATGCAGACAGTAAACTGTCTCCACCGCACTTGAATACCTCTGGAGTCATTCCATCAGGTCCCGCTGCTTTGCCTAGTTTCAGATTGGTGACAGCTTTAGTAACCTCAGTTAGGGATGGAGGACCTGTGTATATATCCCATTCAGAGAGGTGTTGGATGTTCGGAAGGTTGAGCGTGGCTGTGGGCCAATTAAACTGCTCCTCATAATGCTCTTTCCAACGATCCAGTCGTCTATCCTGGGAGCTAATTATAGTGCCATTTTTCTCCGAGATTGTTTCACTAATGATTTGTCTTCTCCCACCCGTTTCCCTGATGAGTGTAAATAGTTGCCTGGTGTTGCCTATCGTCGAAGCTTTCTCCATCTCTTTCGCCTTTGTCACCCACCACTGTTCACGGTCCTTGCGGAGACTTTTCGTAAGTTTCCTTTTGTGCAGCTTTCGCTCCTCATTGAATTCGGAGTTCGCCGGAATCAGTCTTCTTGCGTCAATGAGTTCGGATGAGGCGGTAGAGATCCAATGGCTCTTACTAACTTTTGGTTTTAGCTTATTAACAGCTTTTACAGCTGTGCTTACAGCTAACTGTATGTTGTGCCAGGCTATTTCAGGGGAAGTCGTGCTGTCATCCTCAGAAACTCGTTTCGTTATTTCTTCCTCAAATAGGGACTTAGTGTCTCGATCTAGTTGGGGACTTAACTGTTTCGCTGCCGTCAATTTCTTATGTCCGTTTAGTCGTAAGCATAAACGTGCGCGAACCAGAGCATGATCAGAGTCTACGCACGTGTTGCACAAGGAGTGATAGTCTTCTACTGACCCTCACCAATGATACCCTATGGTGTCTCTTGAATCCAGACAGACAGATAGATACCCTATGGCTATGTGGTCTATCTGAGTCCAGCGTTGATTTGGTGATGGAGGTCGCCAGGTTACACAATGTCTCTCTTTATGCCTAAAGTTAGTGCTGACTAGGAACAGATGATTATCTGAGCTAAACTGTAGAAGACGATCTCCGTTGTCGGTTCATCGCAGAGGACTCCATACGTACCACCTACATACTTCTCTGTTTTGCACAACTTCACTACTTACGCATTGAAGTGGCCTGCTAAAACTACTATATCTGAACGTTTTGCTTTTTGCAGCAAATTAGACAGTTTTAAGTAGAAGTCATCCTTCAGTTCATCCGAACTGCAGTGTGTTGAGGCGTAAGCGGAGACTACGAAAAGGCAACGACGGGTAGCGCCATCTTTCCTTCTTTCAACGGACCCATTCAGACGGACCGCACACATACGACTATCTACTGGGATCCAGTCAAGAAGTGATTTTTCCGCCCTAACACTCAGTGCTATTTCTACACCTGCGCAACCTCGCGAGCTAGCTGAGGGTTCTCCTGAATTTTTCAGATTCACCTTGTTGACCGGGTGAGGTCAAGTGAATGACCACACTCGGGTCTTGTATGCGTGTCTCCAAAACACAACATACATCCATGGCTCGAGAATCCAGAGTTTTTGCTAGTGATGCCTGTTGTCCGATTTGGTAGAGGGTCTTGACGCTAAAAGGTTCTATATGAAGTTGGCGACGTGGCTTTAAAAGGCTATCTGGAGTGTTTCTATGGCTCTCACCGTTGTTTGTGGATACAGAGTGAAGTGAACATGACTCACTAGCCTGCAGAATAGTGCTAACTGTAGTAGAGAAGCAAGATGAGGAAGGTGATGTGAGTAAGGAAGAGTGATGTTCAGGAAGGCTTAGTATGCTTTTAGAAGCGTGTGGGCGGTTGTTACTTCCCGGCTGCCCACATCGTCCAAGTTGATTGATTCTTCGGGAACCTGAGACAGAAAGAGTGTTGCATGACCGCAGAGCCCAGGAAACAACTGCTTGAGACCGGTCACATGCGGCCTGTTTTCGTTTGTTCTTTATTGTTTGGTATGTCTCAGTAGCATATTTATCACTTCTGCCCTGTGACACGGCAGCAGGAAGCGCGGTCGTTGTTAATCCGGGCCCCAACCGATCCGGCATGATACTTGGTGAGTTTAATTGTATCATAGTATTGGATTGGGTAGTTGCTTTTTGTCTAACCGCTATCCAAACAACCTTTCTGGCATGATAGGATCTCAAGAGACATAAGTCTCAGCCAGTATAGCTTGAATAGGTCATTCCGGTGTTCAATCCCGACCACCACGTCAAGGTAGCAGCTTTCGGCCGGGGAACGAACTAATCAATAACCTATTGCTCAATAAATATTCAGGGGACAATGGAGGTGGACTGGACACACACAAACATTGAGGAGACCGTAGAGTGACATCACCAAGGCCATCAGTCGAGTGTGGAACTGGAATGGAAAAAAATACAAGTTGGGCGTAATACCAAGGGTGTGATATGAAATGGAGGATATGAAAGCTTTTGAGTAAGCCATGCGGCCAGCTAAAGAGGACATGTGCTGTTGAAGCCTTATGTCCCAACCACAACCCAACGGAGTAATAATAATAATTAAGAGTCCCTGAATATACACAATATAGTAAGTAAAAGATTCTATTATAAAATGCTGACAGTTTTTTAGAACAAAAACCAAATTAGAACTAGGAGTGAAAATTAAAGGCAAGGGTCAACCATATGCAGACCATTCAATCAAAGGACAGCACAATACTTTAGCTGTCGGTCAGCCATAACATAAGCAGATAAAGTTGCTATAAAATTCACCTGTAAGTCATAAATACCTGCTACCTTGTCGTGGTGGTTGGGCTCACACAACAAAGTGACCCAACAGGATACACTGGCTGGGACTCATGTTTCTGCAGGTCCACTCATGCCAGGAAGGTTGTTAGGATAGAGGTTAGGCTAAAAGCAGTTATTATGGGGTAGATGTGCTCCAGAATCCAAACGGA